CCTTGTATCGCTGAAGTTTCTCGGAGAGAATGTTTACGGGAAATTATCAAACAAGCAGATACGTAACACTACATTTAACGAAAGCTGGTTCAAAACGGAGATCTGGACTATGCCGACCGAAAGAAATTTAATAGAAATTCAACTATTTGAGCACAAGAGTAAAGTGAGAGAACAAATAACGCTATTTAAATTAAACACTGATTATCCAGTACTCCCAAGTAAGCTATGTGGGGAAAATATCAGATAGTAAATGACTGTTGTCCCACAGATTGCCAATATGTTTGTTTATAATAATTTTAACTCGGGTGCAGTAGATTTATTTTTAAACGAGCCACATGGTTTTTAATATGTACCATATTGTTTGCAACTGCAAATAACTTCAAAACTTCTTGTGTAGATCTGTACTAAAGTGCGAGGTTAAAATAGAAAGCATGATAATGGTAATTATTAATTATATACATACATTTCCCCATGACCTGCTCATGCATTTTACCGTACAACTGACAAAAACTAATTTCTTTCTTATTTTCCTCTGGTTTTTATAAACTAATTAAAGTAACTGATGTTTTTGCTAAGTAATCACTGCAGCCTTTTTCTTCTTCTATCACTATTGAAAATATTGATTTAATTCAGTAACGATCCGCCCACCACTAGGAAGCACCCTATCGGAGATGAATGATCAGTGTTTGGATGAAGTGTGATATTATTATAGTTATGGATGTTTTTCACTGTGTTTTTTAAATAAATGATCTAGTGAGGCACGAAATTTTTCAGAAACACGATGGCAGTGCAATTGTTTAATAAAACTTCAAGGTAGGCTGGAATGAACCAATAAGTTTCAAATTTTTTTGTCACTTTGAAAAAATTTGATCCCCTGTTAATACTTCAGAAGTTCAATACTTGGTGTTTTGACTTTTTTTTTTCTTCAGACGAACCAAGAGTAGCCCATGTAGTAAATCATATATTCTTCGGAATAGGTCTAAGTGCTTAATAGGTATGGGAATTAAGAATTTTGCGTTATAGAAAGGGCAAAAAAGTGGGGAAAAAAGCCAAAGGGGATAAATTGATTAGTAGGGGCATATTAAGTTTGGTCACTGAAGCCAAGTCACTGTGGCACTGTTGTCAACTGGTCTGATAATATCAGTGATATTAAAGTACATTGACAGTTTAAAGCATTTTTCTTGTCTGCTTAATTAAGATGATTCTCATCTAAATTCTATAATTTGTTATGATAAAACCAGACCTGCCTAGTCCTCCTGGATTTCTGAGAGCCTCCAGAAATTAGGACCAAACTTCCTGTCTTACAGTAGTTTTTTAAAATCATCTGGAATTCCGAAATTATTTATCAAAAAATGTTTGACTAAAAGCTTCATACAAGCGATGCACTGGCTTTTCAATACTGCCATGAATTACAATTGATATACAATGCTCTTAGTATTACGATGACTACTGTCCCTTCATATCTCTGCTGCCAGAGCAGGCTACAGTTACCATTGCCTAAAATGAAAATTTCAGAGAGGAGCTGACTAGTAACAGTGCCAAAATTGTTCTAAAAAAGTTGCAAACGTGGTGAACAGTGATTCACCGATACAGAGTAGTCCAGCACAGGTTATTATACTGAACTCCATTGAAAACAACTATTTGATTCCTTTCTTCCCACCAATCATCAGTCCATTTAATTAACCTATCCTCTACTCCAGCAGAAGTCTTGTTTTACATCAAACTTTTATAACATAACATGCAAACAATAATTGAACATTTGGTCCTTCAAGGCTGCCCCTCCTCATTCACTCTGGAGAACAAAGTAAAAACTTAAACCTATCCTTTATTCTTCTGGTAATTATTTTTTCACTTATTAATTCTATGTTAACTGCTAATGGAAACTCATTATATAAACTAATCTGTTAGAAAAATAAAACTGTTTTTTTACAAACTTTAAATTTATGTCTTCTCTTTGTATTATCTCTGGATCCAACAAAAATGAGTCATAGGCCTTTATCCTGTTGATTCCATGGATGGTATTATAAATATCAGTAAGAAAACTCGTTACCCTTTTTTTCTCAAGATAAAATAAGCTAAAAGGTGTTAACCTATTTCCATAACAGAACCTTTCTAACTTCAGAATCATCCTAGTAGCTCTTCTCTGAACTCTTTCCAGTAAGTCAGTATCTTTTCTTATGTAAAGAGACCAAAACCTTACATGGTGCTTTAAATGAGGCTTAATCAGTTACTTGAATAAAGAGAATTACCTCTTTTGACCTATAATCAATATGCCAATAAATGTATCCAAGAATTCTTTTAGCTTCACTACTAACAAAAGACCATTGCCTCAATGGCTTTAGTAACTTATTTACCACCATGGCAAGATCTTTTCACTCATTCTGTTGAAAGGGTTTCCATCTACACAGAATGTATGATTCACACTTAAATGACCCAGATTCATTGTCATGCACTTACTATAATTATAGGTCATTTGCTCACTATAGGTCTTAACTTACCAATTGATCTATTTCATTCTGTAGACCTCAACATCCTCAATACAGCTAGAAATACCTAAGAGTTCAATGCCATCAACAGACTTTACTATTTTACTAATTATACCCTTTGCCATTAATGTAGATAAGAAAAAAGCAGTGGTCCAAACACTGACCCCTAGTACTCAACTAGGAATGTGGGTCCAATTTTATTAGACCCATTAGTAAAATTTTTTTCTTTCTCTCATCCAGTCACCTTACAAACAAATTACTAGCACATCTCCACTTCCCACTGATGTGATTTTCTTAGCTATTTTTTTGTGTGGCACCTTATCAAAAGCTTTTTGAAAACCTGAATATAAGTCCACCACTCTTCCCATCATAACAGAGAAAATTCTCAATAAAAAGTTAATATATTAAAAAGGAGTTTTGTTTAGTGAGTCAGTGATGATTTTCTTTAAAGTTAGGATAAATTTTGTCAAAGTCAGTAGTTTAACTTTCAGTTCAGTTGTTGTTTTTCTAAATTATTGTTTTTGTTAGTAATAATAATATTGTCTCTGGAGGATTAGTTTTCTCTCTTAAATGTGTTAAACAGTTTAAGTATCTCACTTGTTTAACACTTGAACTATATATATATCTTCTGCAGTAAGTTTCATATTTATATTTTCTATGTTCCATTTATTTTCATCAGTTTTCCTTTGCTTTTGACATAAAGAAACTGTTTAGATATGAATTCATGTTTCAAACTACAAGCCTTTAAAAAAAAAAGCAGGAATAGTTTTCTTTTTGTGATTTCATGTACTTATTGTTACAGACCTTGGGATTACACCCCTTCCTCTGGTCATTCTTTACTGTACGTGACTTCTTCACTATTCTTACAGTTGCAGAAAATGCTTATTATCTCATTAAAAAACACTTTTAATCTTTAAAAATCTAAAAAGTGTGAGGTGGTTTTTCTTTCATTTTGGGTTAATTAGTTTTATTTTAGTGTTTTATGTACCTTTTTTCTGTCACTTACTTGAACTGTCTCTTGAGTTTGTTTATTCCTGTTTGAATTAATTTTAACATTTTCATAAGTAGACAAAATTATTGACATTGGGTAATGTTGAGGTCTTATGAAGGTAACATGGTCATATATAAATCAGTCTGTCACTATATCAATAAGCTGATCAGATTATTTTGACAAAGCTAGTAATCTTCCCATGTTAAATTGTAATCACGTTATCTGGTAACAACTAAATATGTAATGGAAAAGAGAACTGATAAGCCAGAAAATTGTGAATGTGCAGTTTTAAATTGGATGTTGCTTGAAACTGTTGGGCATATAAGTATTGTGAGTAATAATTAATCAGTCTTTGAATGTGTTGTATTATTAAGTAGATTTTAGATATGTTGCCTTAACTTGTGATGGAGGCAGTAAATTTAAGAGAAGGCTTTCTGAATATCAAATAAGGGCTGGCTTCAAGATTTTGATAAAGTTTAGTGGATGGACCAACAGGTCTTTTGTTAGCCTTTAATATTATGTTAAGTAAAATTTAAGTTTTTCTTTCTTGTTCCTTTCCTGACTTTTTTTTTGTGAAGGTTATGCTGTCCAGTTAAAAGTTTCAGGTCCGTGCCCAGCAATTTTGAAATTTGAATACATTCAGTTCAGCTTGTAAAAGTTCTAATAAATGTTCTGTTTTTATGTTTTGTTTTTTAAGAATCCTAGTTGTAAAGTTTTGATTATTCTTTGATATACAGTAAAAGATTTGTTCTGGAATGTGTTTGTTGAATAGAAAAATTTTGCCTTAAGACATCTATTATGATTATACTGTTTGAATGCCATTTCATTCTGATTTGAGACAAGGGATGCCATCAAAACATTGAAAGTTGTATGTTATTCAACATTTATCAGAATTGGATTCTATGGATACTATTTTCTGTATTCTGCCATAAATGAAAAGAAATGTGACTAATGCACATATATTTATTGTATTTAATACAGGTTTTAGATTATATGACCATTGTTGACTGGTCTAAAAATAAGTGGCCAGTTGGCATTAATTGACTGGTCAAACCATCCCTTTCCCTGCAGTTTCCATTATGATTACTTTAGAAGTTTCTTCATGTCTGTAACAGAACCTCAGATAATTCTTTCTAATTACTTTGTTGTTGATCAAGGTTTTACAATCTTTTCACTCACCAAAGAGCTCATGGGTAGAAAGAAAAAATATATAGATTATCAGCTCTAGTATTTTATGAAGTAAGAATGTAATAAACAATATAAAAGTATATTACATGCAATATAGTATTTATTAGTATTATCACCAACAGGTTAACACAAGCTGTTGAACTTGTAAATGGATTGGATGACTCCAAGTTTCCCCTCCTGTTGTCACGTATACTTCAGAAGATCCATTTGAAGGTAAGGAGCCTTAAAAATAACAAGAAATATTTAATGAAGTTTTTGAGTGTTGTCCCATGTTTCATTTGTTGGAAAAATGTAATTAGTATTACCATGAAAATGATGCAGTACATTATTTAAAAAACAATTCAGAAATACCATTTTCACCAGTTTTTATCAAAGTAAAACTTTCAAATGGATTAAAGATATGTCATTTCCATTTTTCAGCAAGTTTTGTATAAGCTTTCAAGTGGTAAGTACTTGCAAAAAACATTGCTTCATTGGACATCCACAAGTTTTAGCCACAGTTGCAATTCCAAACACCTTTGTGTATGGAACACCTTACAGTCACACCTTTTTTTATTGGTCTTTATTGAAGCTTGCAAGTTTGGAATCCTACGATGTTGGATAGTAGGTCAGTGGCCTTGGTGAAAGCAACTGCTGACATTGGCCATTGTTATTGTATATAACGCATTACAGAATCTCCATAGATCATTGGGCTAAGTTATTTTTTGTACTGTGCAATCTCAAATGCTAATGAACTTGATATATTTTTAAGTATTAAACAACAATGAGAGAGATTACTGCAGCTTTTGGAGTTTACTGGTTATTACTTGGAAGTCACTTTCTCAAGAGGTAGATAAGTTATTTATCTGTTCTTTTAGCCCAATCAATCACTAAATGAAGATCATATCTATGACACTAATAGTTGTTGTACTAGCCTATTTAGCTCCCATTGTGTTATACACAAAATTCAGTGGTGAAAACTCTCCATATGTCTTACATAACGGTACACAACGTAATCAAGAAAGATCTCTGTCTGGAAATGGGATTACCAAGATAAAGCATCCAGTCGTACTTCCTGTTCATCCACCGTGTATCTCGAGGAGCTGGAGAATAAAAAGATATTTGTGTTATTCAGTATGAAAACATATGGTCAAGTCACCAGATGCAGCACTGTGAATTTCTTTGCTATTGGACTGTTGAATCAAATACTGAGAAATCATTATACTCATACACTAGATGGATTATTGAAAGCTTTCAGGTAGGAGTGGTGTACTTTGGACATTACAGCCTTATGATATAGCCTTCTTCAATGGAAATTATGTTGCAGGATGTATGTCAAGATGGACATAGCAGTATGGACTGTCACTTTGTGATCATCTCTTGTTGCCAACAATAGCAGTATTAGGTTACATTCATTCATTACAAGGCTTTTGAATATCAGATGCTTGTTCTTTCATAGCCAATGAATATTCTTTTAAGATTATTATTATGCTATATAATCTGCCAGCTTCATTTTGTGTAGGACTGAAAGATTCATGTCAAAATGTCTGTTTGTCATTACTAATATAAGGATTTCTTTCTGTAGTAACAATTGTTTTATAGGAAAGATTGTTGTCTAGCAATCTAGTTGTTTCGGATCTTTTTCATTATTATTCGCACTCTTAGAGGCAATTAGTTGCACTGAGCTTTGCAACATGGGATCTGGTTGTTATCCATTAGGCTTACCTTTTGTAATATGTTGAGGATGTTTTTGGCTATATTGTCATAAAGAGTCTTTAGACTATCTGCTTTGCTTTCTTGGGACATAACATGACATATGCAGATCCATCTCAACTTGGTGCTCTGATCATTAAATGAATGGTCAAATGTCAGAAAAACCTCTGGCCCATTATTGAGTTCTAAGCAATCAATGCTTCTTCCTCTGTCTCAAAAGCAAATATTTCTGTGCTTAATCTAATCATGTCTCCTGCATATGATTCTAAGACTAATTATGAGTTATAGTATAGCTAAGGATGGTATTGGAAATTAATATTTCAGTATTGAATGTGAATTTTAAAGAGAAAGTTGTGTATACCGTAACATTTCCATCTTTCTCATACAAAATTAGTAGTTTGGGGAAAATATTGTGTCCATGTAAGGTTGAATAAGTGCAAGGATTGGAAGGAAAGTAGTGCTATGTATTTTTGATGTTGGTTGGTCTATGATAAAAGTAAGAAACAAACTGGTGAATGGAAGAGAAAGTAGATAGAATAACAAAAGATATTCAAGAGAAAAGGCTATCAATGATATTTATTATTGAAAAAATGTAATTTTTTTTATTATCTTTAACACTTGTGCTTTTTGAACTCAGAAACTAGTTTAAATGTTTTTAGAGCAACAAGTAGCTTACAACATAAGTACATATGTTTTTTAACAGTTTAAAAATATGTAATTGAATCTATTTTTCTCTAAGCTTTTGATTTTTTATTTGACGTAAGTGTTCATTATTTTTTGTTTAGGATGAAGAAACTTTCACACCTGAAGAGGAATCAAAACTCCAAGTTTCATTGTCTCTAGATAAGCTGGAATTAAAGTTTGTCCTTGAATGTCTATCATTCATATTAGAACAGGTAATGGTTATTAAAAGCTCTTGTACTAAGAGGGCAACATCATTCCACCAGTATTGCATTAACCAGCAACTTTCACTATTGTTCATACTTTATTATATTCCAGTTGGCATATACTATAAAGAAGTCAGTTAACCCAGAATAAACTAGTAAATGATAAGTTTAACTTGCCACATGACACTGATCCAAAGTAATTCCAACATTTCCAAATATCTTAACTTGCCACATGACACTGATCCAAAGTAATTCCAACATTTCCAAATATCTTGACTTAGAGTTTACATTAGGGCTCAATAGTTCTTCTGACATTAGATGTTTATATCTTTAATTTCCAAAACAGACTTATCTCCGCTGACACTTGTAGCTATTACTTGACCTCGAGGATTTCTTCCTTTGCCCATCTGAGCATTGGTCTGATTTTTTCTTGCTCCATTCACTTGCCCTTGGCAATTTTTATCTTGTGTTATTCTCCACCTACATCAGTGCGCCCTCTATCATTCAGATAATGCTATCACTGTTTTTTGACAGGGATACTTTGAATTATCGTATTATCTAGTTGATTTTCATAAAAATAATAATAAAAATAAATATATTTTATTCGGATTGGTAAGCCAATTTATGGTATGAATTCATGGATTATTATTTGCTGCACCTCCTATCCCACTGCTGATATTTAGCATTGCACAACAATCGGGGGGGGGGGGTTTCTTGGGTGAGACTATCAGTGGACTTATTCGTATCTGTGGTGGTCCGGGAAGGGAGGGCTATTCCTCGAAATTTTGGTGAGACTTTAGATTTGCTTTTTCCTGTGCCTTCTTTTAGTCTGTTGGATTTTCAGCCCCCCTGTGGGACAGTGGTAAGTTTACAGACTTGCAACACTGAAGTTTGGGGTTCAATTCCCTAGAGTGGATGCGACAGATAGCCCAAAGCTGCTTTGCTCTAACAAAACAATTTTGCCACACAAAATGACATATGAGAAATGAAAAAGAGGCCACTTTGGGATAAGCTGCCTTTGATTTTTTTTTTCTTCTGTTGTTTCCTCGATTGTGTGATGTTTTTGATTTTTTGAGCCTGCACAATAAATGATGGCTGAAAGGTCTGGGAGTGAATTTTTTTTTCTTCATACGCGGGTCGTGTAGTTCACGCTGAAAGGTTTACTTACGAGTTGCGTGAATGAACAGTTAGACCTTATCCGACACGATGTTGTAACTTTGTGATTTAGCCTTCCACCACCAGATGGAAGCATTTTCCGACTCTCAACTAATACATCTGTTCTTCCAAATCGGGGTTCTAAGGCAGAGTTTGTAGTTCACCTGAGTAGTTCAATGTCTCCTGATGGGACAGTGTAAGTCTACTGACAGTTTGTAGTTCACCTGAGTAGTTCAATGACCCCTGATGGGACAGTGTACGTCTACTGACAGTTTGTAGTTCACCTGAGTAGTTCAATGTCCCCTGATGGGACAGTGTAAGTCTACTGACTAACAACTATAAAATTCAACATTTTTGTTTTCCTTTCACTTCACTTTATTAGAAGAATATCAGGTTCACCATCTTCATTGATGATAAGCTGACTCCATTGTTAGCATGCATGTTGGTTCAGTTTTTGGCTTCTGCATTCTCCCCTGTTGTCTGGAGTCTTGAATTACATTGGCTCCTACAGGGGATCATAGTTCTGCCCCTAATCGTGGGTCCCAACCCCTGACATCGGCCCCTCAGTACATTGGTACATGAAATAGATTCTGTCTATATCCAAGGTTTCTGCTGCTTGGTCAGATTGCCAGCAGCTTTGATGATTATTGTATACATTCAGGGGCTGTGAGGGCTTGGTTCCAAATATTTCTGGTCATGTCATAACATTACCCATGGATCCAGGAGCACTGCAGGTTCTTCAGACACAATTAGTCGTTCAGTTCACATCTTCACCACTATTATCAACCAAACCTGTAAGGTTTCTGTCTCTCACATTTCATATGGATTTGTAAGTTAGTTATAGGGTGATCTGCATTATTTTGGTCTGGGAGTAGTGAGAGAGTTGTGCTAGTTCTTCAGAGTTTTTATTCCTGTCAGTTGTCAGGATATTGGTGTCCAGTCATTGATCTTTCTCATCTATATCAATGCCTAGATTCTCCAAGGTTCACAAATTACTCATTCCTCTAGACTTGCATCAGCTTCATGTGGATTCTGCTGTATTGTTCAAGGTTCATTTTTCTCGTCACCTTCATTCCATTGTAACGTGCACACATCAACCATGGTTGACTGGTTACTGCTGGCCCCATCTCATCATTTGACAGAACATTACATCCTGATTCTGCTTTCAGAATTAACCAAGGCAGGCTTCCCTTTCAGGACTGAGACATATATTCATTCTCCAATTCACTTTGTCATCAGTCTGGGTTTTGTTTTTCATCATCTCTCAGTCAGGCTTAGCTGACTCCCATTTGGCCCAACGCTATAGAATAGGATGCTACACTCTTACTCTCCTCTCCTTCTCCCACTGCATGGATGGTTCTTTCTCTTCAGGTAATGTAAGCATCACTTGAATCCCTCTTGCCTTTGAGACAAGAATACAAATGATCCTTTTATTGCTCTTTATGAGACCAGGTGATCATAAACATCGATTCATTGGTTTCCCCAGTTTCTTTAGTCGGAATCATTCCTCGATTTTGAGGAGTTGTTAAGTTGGGACACTACTATTTTATAGTTTCCTCTACTGCCACCTTGTCCAGAGTTCCGTCTCTTCACAAAGGCCTCGATTCAGAGGTTGGGTGCATATACCAAAAGTCAGAAATTCCAAGGTCTATGCATGGATGAAGAGGATTCTTTGCACAATGTTTTCATCCTTCTTGCTCTTTAAAAGGCAGTGCCTCATGGTCTGGGCTTATTAAGGGGTAAATCGTCAGGCTTCACTCTGAAAATTCCATAGTGGTGTCTTGTATTTATCATAAAGAGGCATGTGGTTTAGGGATCATTGTTTTCAATTTTTGGACCTCCTTTCTCAGGAACTTTCCTGTCTTATCACCCTGCTTGCTTGCCATGTTCCATGGGGATGCCTGTGGTAGCAGGTCAATTGTATCAATCCATTAGAAATTCTTCTGACAGAATACATGTTTCATCAAAGATTCAGTGGAATTGGCTATCATTTTGCCACTCTAATTGGTGGGTTGGCCTGTCATTGGATCACCCAACTACTGGGAAGTTGGTTTCCAGTAACTCATCCTCGGGCTTTGGCAATAGAAGAATTCCATAAGGAAGGGACGTGATTACAACTCCAAGCCTTCTCTCTACTTTTCATATTACCCAGGGTTCTAAATATGATTAGTTCCAACCCATTGCCAGGCCCTATTGATAGCACCAGATAGCCCGCTACACACAGTTTTCTGCTTCTGTAGTCCCTTCCAGTGTGTCCAACTCTTTCTTTTAAGACTCTCTCTGTGGAGGCAGCCATGATCTGATATGGTACACCTAGCTATCCAGAAGTTTAAGCTTTTGGCATAGAGGTTATGCTGTCTTTCCCATGGCATCGGAGTTTAGTTTCTAAGGTTGCCATGTATCTGTCTCCATTTTTTCTTTGTCCATAAGGCACATTTATCAATAGTAATGACTTGCATATCAGCAATGGTGTACTGAGAGGAGGTAAAACCCATTTCAATCAGTAGTGTCAACCATAATTTGCTTTTTTACCTGGCTGTCTGGCAGATTTTTTTTGCATCTTCCACTATCACCTTGTTTAAGGCGGCCTTATCAACTACTGTTTGATTATTGAGACTACATATTTTTTGAGTCCCCAGTACTCTCCAAATTGGGTACTTGGTACCAAGTGACCATTCCAGTTGCTTACCAGGCATATTAAGGTTACGTTACATATTCTGCCTCCACAACTGTTTGTGACCTGACTCTTATATACCATATATTCCCTTTACCTGCAGGTTTATGTTTTGTGGCTGCTGACCTATGGACATCACCGGCAGGAGTGATTAGTGTGGTTTGTCCACAGACCACTTTATCATTCTCTCTACGTTCTCAGACCAGTTCTTCTTACCCAACACACTGTGAAACAGGAAAAGGGTTCAGTCCTTTTCTCTGATTAATCTGTTCACCATTTCTCTCTTCTATGTCCAATCAAATTTTGATCTTGGTCATGTTCAGTGAGGGTCTTGAAGGTTCTGTGGCCTGCACTAATACCTTTAGAGATACTAGACAATGATTTTTACTATGGGCTCTCTTTGAAGGTGAGAAATCTTCTGCGAGTCCCATCTCATCAAATTTGTCACTTATCTATGTCTTTAGCAGCCCAGATAAATTGCCTGCTGGAGATCATGGTGTGGACTGGTATATGAATTTCCCCCAACACCTTTATCTCTCATTATTTGCATGATCTGGCCATCTCTTCATCTGAAGGTTTTTGTTTACCCCCTGTAGTTACCTTCACCATTTCTGCTGGAGGAGTGAGTATTTTTCTTTCTAATTTTCAGGAACCCTCATCTTGTTTTCACAGGATCCCACTCTGTGGCGAGTATTGGCCATACAGGTGTGCTTTTATCAAACCAATTTCACACTAGCAACCACTAATTGTAACAGGTTGCAACAGGCTCTGTAGAAATGACGTGTTCCATAAGACCACCTACCAGCTGATCTGGTGGTATTTACTGTTCTTTTATGAACCATCACTCATGGACTATCATGAGTAAAGCATAAGAAGATCCTGCCGATCTTTGGATTGAAAACATCAAAATTGGTTAGCTTTTAAAAATTTAGGGAACTTGGTTAACCTATTGCATTGTTCCTCAGGACTCCCCAACATGCATTAGCCCCCAGATTCTACTAGGGTCCCTGAATGTTTCTCCCAGATGCCGGTAAAAGTGGCACCAGCCTACACAGGAGCTTACTCATAATATCAGTTCAGATTTGATGCTTGGCTATCTGGTTGGGGTGTGCATTGGCCTCTTTTTTTTTATCAATATAGGTTCAGTACATTGTTCATGGAAGAGGGTCTATGATCTCCTCATAATTCCAAATGCAGAGTGATCCTAGTTGTTCCACGTAGGAATGTACCTTGTCCACTTGGTTGGGGCATGAGGATGATGTTCATAATTCCAGAATGGATGAGTTCCTTTCTTTTGGCTGAGTAAGGCATACATGATCCCATCATTTCAAACCTGGGGTGTTGCCTTTCAGGCTTCTTCAGGCAGAGGAGAAGGTTTGTCCACTTTGGTGTTGCATACTTTCTTGTCCTGATTCTGGTGGCTTGGAATGCATCACAATGGCTACAGGTTGGAATCCACTCACAAGTATGTATATGTATCACATTGCGATCCAATTGCCCTAGCCATCAATGTCGGATATAGGGACCAAAATCCCTTAATTCCAACCCCGAGTAGTGGAACATTGGCTATCTTGTTGGGGCTAGCCTACAGTGATGATCATTCATGTACATTTCCACCCATAATACAGGAACTAAGTTCAAAGTGAAGAGCAAACCTTTTCTGGATGTAGTGTAGTTCCCCCACTAGGGTGGCAATCTTCTGTTGGCACACCCAAGATATTTATAGATGCTTCTGTATGGTTAATGCCCTCACCAGCCCCTCTACTTTCTCAATGTGGGATTCTAGCTTTAAGTGTCAGCAGAGGTAAGTATGGTTTGGAAGCTCACATTTTCCTAAATTGAAAATGTATTTCCAATAATACTTACCTCTGCTTGCACTCTCCTGCCCTTCCTCCCCATTAAGAGCTGGTGTTAGAGATTGAGTTAGTCTAAAAAAAGTGATAACAAGATAGAGGGCACATTGATGTAAGTGGAGAGTATCACAACACAAATATTGCCAAGGGCAATTGAGTGGGGTATAAAAGACTGGAGCAAGCAAGAAAAAATCAGATCACTGCTTAGATGGGCAAAGGAAGAAACCCTGGCAGTCAAGTAATAGCTGTAAGTATGAGTAGAGGTATTATTGGAAATACATTTTCAATTTAGGAAAATGTTAACTTTTAAAACTCGCAGCTCAAAATTAACAGTGGTTTGTTTGCCACTGGCCACCAAAATGTCGGCAGACTACCCAAAAGATTTTCTGGGTAGTTCGTGTAGCCACCAAAAAACTGACTATGAAAATCTAAATTTAAGTGATTATTTTTCTCCACAAGATATATAATGTTTGTCATGAAACAATTAAGAGAACAACAAAGTTACCCTGAGAATAATATGAAATGTCATTCTCAAATATCGAGTCAACTTCCTGCCATTATCCAAAGGGTTGAATACATCTGTATAATGGCACATGTGGACCGAGACACTATCTGAGCTTGCAGATCAAAATGATCATCCTGTAAAAAAAAATTCAGTTCCTTTCAAGAAATGATAGATCTTCAGTAATGTTGTTCTTCTGAATGTCTTCTGTCATTAAAAACGTCTAACCTAAAGCTCATTTTCACTTAATACATTTTTATACCTTGAGGTTATTTCTTACTTCACAAGATAATTGTTTCAGTAATGTGCTTTTAATCTTATACACTTATTATCACATTTTTAATGTTTCTTTTTACACAAATTATTTTGGAAAAATAATATATCAGTCTTCAACCTAACCTTAATTGTTTAGTTATTACATGTTAAATGGCCAGTGTTTTTGCATTTTGTATCCTGGACTTATTGTTTTCCTTTTTACACTAGTGTTAATAGAAAGTCTTAAATACAGTTCTCTTCATTGTTGAGCTCATAGATGATATAAATATTTTGAGATGTTCTTACACTGACATCTTTTTTTTTATTTTACTAAATGGTCAATTATGATTTAGCTTGCTTACTTAATTATTTATCTTTAAGATTTGATGGTTTGATCAGTGTTTCTAGTTAATGTTGTTATTTGGTAATTTTAATGATATTATTTTATGTCAAACTCTTCCAGGCTGCTTACCACTTGGCAAAGCCAAATGTCCTATCTCAACAGCTAAAGCAACTCAAGATGAATGAAAAAAAAGTACGAGAAATTTCAATTAATTTTCTATATTTATTTAATGTACTTATTTCTAAGAGTGCTATCTAAATGTTTTAGATTTTTTTTAAGTTCCTATCACCCACTGACTTAACATGAAAGAATTATAACTCTTATTGCATTTTCTTTACAATTAGTTTAAGGCATTTTTTATTGTTTTTTAATAACTCTTTTGCTCCAATGATCAAAAAGTTTTAGTGTCTTACGTTCAAAATTTTATTACGCTACTTTTTGTTTATGTTGTAGCAATTAATATGGCTTAAACACTTAGCTAATAATCCATATTTTAGTAGTATATAAGTTTTAAGTTCTTAATTCTACAAGGAAATATTTAAAAAATCCTGAACTTTCCCTAGTGTTACACAGTAACACATTTTCTCTAGGCATCTTCTCTATTTTGTTCACCACCACATCAAAATGTACGCAATTAAACATAATTGCTCTATATAATATTGTCATTGCTCAGACAAACCATAATTTTTATAGCCTTCAATTAATAGCCTTCAGAGCTATAAATAGAAAAATTACACCCCTACTGCCACACCTACCTGTCACATCTTCTCCTTCAGGTTCTGTTAATAGTTCTCTTTTACGTTTAATTATATATATTACCTATAACCAATAGAAAGTCCAAGTTTTCATCTATCAAATGAGATATTGTATAATGTTGTGTTCTGAACAGATAAGCATCAATTTTACTCAGAGTACAAGCTTCATTTTGAGAGTTAAAGAAAATTGTCTGCTTTTTACGTGTTATTAGTCTATGTTCTTTGGTGCATTATTTAGTTAAATAAAAATTATTTAATGCACTACTAGGGTTTAGTATAAAATATGTAGGCCTAAGTATAATTGACAATTGACAGCAAGAAATAAGAAGATTGGGTAAGTAATTTATTTCTTGTTTTTCATGTTTATTCTTTATTTATCAGGTAAAATATATAATAATATAATAAAAATGTTTCATGAGGCACGCATGTAGCAGCATGTAGGTAATGTAATTCAATAGTGTAACGTGAGCTATATGTGCCCTGTGTGATTTATATAAAGTACTTTGTGATTTAGCTCTTTTTTTTTACATGTAATTAAAATCCAAAACTATTTTACTGTAAACTGTTAATTACTTGGTAAAGTTTACAAAGATAAAAACAAACAAATTAGATTTGTAGTGATTATAAGTACAGAAATATTGAGGGTTTTCCTGAACTGTTGTTTACTTTCTAGGTATCAGCAGTTGTTGATGCTTGGACAAATAATGCAAAAGAAGTAACAAAAAAACTACGAGAAAGAACTCTTGCACCAAAAGAGGTATGATATACACATATCGACATAACACTATGTCTCCCTGTGCGTGTCATGTTTTGCAACTGTCTTGTGAGTGAATTTATTTTCTCTGTATGTCACTATTTTCTGTTTTCATGAAGAAATGTGAAACAATCAGTGTTTTAAAAGTTCATTAATGAAGGATCATTCTGAGTGAGTCATTAACAGGCCTCTCAAATTCTGTTTTAACCAGATAGCTATGTAACTACACACACACACACACACACCAGTATCAAAAAGTGTACAAAAAATCATCTTTTGCAGGAATCAGTTGGTTAGTCTCAAGAATGTTAAATCTGATAGCTAAGTGTATATGATATTCATTTTGTAAAAATCAAAGTCTGAAAAGAAGTTTTGAGAAGGATTCCCCTGTTTAGCTAAAGTGATAGTTAAGTATTTCGTAACATTTTAAAGGATTGGGCCACAATAGTTCTATGTGCTGATGCATCTTATTTTGTCTTGGGCACTGATAGAGATCGTGACTTTCAGATATTTTATTAATTAGTCCATTTTGGATTTCAAATCAGAAGTTGTTTAAATACCAGTTGTGATCTATCTTTTGTCTGTTACAAATCACTGTTTACTAAGAATTAGATCTTTTTACCTGCTGCTGTACATCATGAGTATCATTTGTAATTTTGTAGAAATTGCTGTTTCTATAAGAACACTGCACTGTGTATCACATGACCCATTCTGTGTTTCTAATATTTTTATTGCTGTATGTTATATCCTGGTTGTTTATCTACAATGTTTGGATAGTATACTTCTTACTTAATTCCTCTAAACTAAGCCTTGACTCTTTTGCTTTTGATGTATATCTAAGTGTTAAAGTCACACTTTTTCAATTAGGCTTTTCCATTCAAAATATTAAAACCTGTACTTTTCAGATTTGCAGCTTTAAAGATATTAACAAAGCAATTACTGTTCACCCAGTTGTGTGTTTTAACAGGGCTATTTGTGACAGAAGGATCATTTATAAACTGTTTTTTCTCCTTTTTTGAGGGGGTTGCTTTAGTCCTTGTTTCTTTGTGTAGCTTGACATAACATGATGTAAAAAGGTTCAGGGTGTATTCTTTCTCAGGCTTATTTCAGGATTTATAGGAAATTCTATGTTTTATTTACTTTTCAACTTGTTCATTGGGCTAATAAAAACTGTCCAGAAAGACTTTGAATTGCCTTTTTACACATTCCACTTAAAGAGGGGGTGGGGGAGAGAAAGTTTTATCCGTAAGTGTAATGTGTGCACTGAATTTTAGACAAATCCTAGTAAAATATAATAGAACTGAAAATCATTAATGTGTGCTGCTGTGTTGTCAGTATATGAAATAGGTTTCTACAGTGATTAAAAGCACTAGTTTTGAGCCAATACTTTTTTATCTTTACTGAGTATTTTTAATTAATAGACAGACTTATTCAATTGATGAGAAATGTTTTCAACTTTGAATATTTATCTAGTAGTTGTTTTCCTTCCTAAAGAGACTTTTTCCAAGTAGAAAGAAACACCTGGCCGAGACACCACAATGTGTCTACTGTGGTTGTTTTACTTTTATACTAAAGAGAAGTATTCGATTGATGAGGAAAAAGTCTCAAACAAAAAAAATTCAAAACTTAGGGTAAAGCCACGTTTTTTTTAAAGTATTTTTTGCTATTTATATATATAAACCTGTTCCCCAAGAAGGAAAAATTGTTTCTAAAAGCATTATTTGTCTATGTTTTTTTTTCTTTTACACCTTGATAGTGATTGAAGATAATAAGAAAAACATTCATAAACCAATACAGTTTGTCTCTCTAATGGTGTTTTGCATTTCTATACAAATGTATTCTATTAGGAGGAAAGATAGTCTTGAACCAAGCCTGATTATCTTCTAAAGTGTTTTGTACTTGTTTTATTCCATTGATGAAGGAAGAGTATTGAGGGACTTTTTTTTCAGTTTTTGGTGACTTTTTGATGTTTTGCTCTCTTGGAGAATCAATTCAGTTGTTGTTGAAAGACTGTCATAATTATTTATATCTCTCGACCACTTGTGCTCCTTGGGTCAGGACAATTTGTTTCCTCTTAGTATTTTGTCTTTCTTGTGGAACTGAGTAGTTTTGACAGTTATAAGCTAACATTACACATTTCTTTTCCCTCAAAACAGACTTTTCTATTCATAAAAAAAACAGTTTTCAGCCAAGACTTCTGTTTCTTTTGAATATTTTGCTTTCCTTGCAAGGTGTGTTCCACTGAGGAGGAAGTAGTTTTGCACCAGAACTTTTTCTTTAGCAAGGTGTGTTCCACTGAGGAGGAAGTAGTTTTGCACCAGAACTTTTTCTTTAGCAAGGTGTGTTCCACTGAGGAGGAAGTAGTTTTGCACCAGAACTTTTTGTTTAGCAAGGTGTGTTCCACTGAGGAGGAAGTAGTTTTGCACCAGAACTTTTTGTTTAGCAAGGTGTGTTCCACTGAGGAGGAAGTAGTTTTGCACCAGAACTTTTTCGTTTAGCAAGGTGTGTTCCACTGACGAGGAAGTAGTTTTGCACCAGAACTTTTTGTTTAGCAAGGTGTGTTCCACTGAGGAGGAAGTAGTTTTGCACCAGAACTTTTTGTTTATTTTAGGTGTTCAACCTTCATGAAAGGTATTTGCATTATGAAGGAAAGTTGAAAACATTTTCATATTAATAAATAAATAAATGATTATACCGTAGCACTAAATAATGCTTCAGTGTCTGATATTAGTGTAATGGTTAGTCATTTTACTTTTGTTGCTTTAAAGTGATCCACTCTGTGGTTTATGTTGGCATGGCAAAAATTACATCACAAAGTGTCTTATACACAATAAGGTATAGTTTAATTTTGTATTTAGAGAGCTGGATATGGTCTGGAGGATTTATTGTCATTATAAACTACTAGAGCGGAGATTCCCAAACTTTGCCAATCCCCCTTCAACTTCTTTACTGTATTGGCAGACCATCTTCCATTAAAAATAGTTTTTATCATGCGTAACTGGTGTATCATATGCATATTTTACTACCTTTAATTTGGGATTTATATATATATTGCTATATATAGTTTTATAATGTCTTAGCATTTTATTTTATTTGTTACTCTTTCAGTAAATGGTAATTTCATAAATATGATGTATTACTGCGGACCCCTTAAGTACTGTTGTGAACCCCCAGGTGGCCACGGACCACAGTTTGGGAACCTCTGTGCTAGAGGAGTACATACACAACAAGTTGAAATTAGGATTAAGTTTCTTTTATTCTTGTTTAAGCATGAGATGTACATTCTGAAATTAATAACAACCAAAGGCAGAGCTGTTTTATTGGATAATCTGACATTCATACCATCTTGATTTGTTTGATATTATTACTAGTTTCATTATAAATTGTTCAATCAATAAAAGTTGCTAAGTGTGGGTGGTTGAAATGAAAGTTAGTTGATTGGAATAGAACACTTAGCTAACTATGTTGAAATACAATGGTAAGATATTTTTCATTTGTTTTTAATAAAAGTCTTGTTATTTGATGAGTGAATGGTTATTATCCAAGCCAAAAGTTAAATTGATGTGTATTTTGAGTATTCTATTAATATTATAACTATTTATTAAAATGAATCAATCTACATTTTGACTAAATTACAAAAAAAAATGTTTTGTAGATTTTCTTTTATTGAGCAAAAATAGTCATGAAAATTACAGCTTTCGGCTTGTATTTTATAATAAGGCATGGGAGTGCTTCATCACTTTTAGTTATGTAGTGTTCAGGTGATCATTGTTAATTTGGCAGTCATGGAATCACATACAGATATCTGAAATTGAACACATAACACTCATGTGATCATTGTTAATCTAGCAGTCAAGGAAGCATTGGCAGTCCCTAGGGCTCAGTTCAGTGCTCAAAAGTAAATTGGCCATGAGAATCTAGCTGCTTACAGTGGTGATATACAATTTGTGCATGACAAAGTATACCAGGCATGAATTATGAATGGTTTTTGTTAGCAAATTTGGTGATGGTCTACCAATTTTATCCATATGGCACTGCAAGGATCTAAGGGACATCTTGTATCTGGCAGAAATTGTTTTTGTGGTTAAATGATTCTAGGTAGTCACATCAAATCAGACAGTGGAACTACAGAAGAAGCTGGAGGCAATTATGATGATGCTGTGTTAACACCACTAACCTTGGCAAAGACCTTATTTGAAATGATGTGAATAGTTAACCAGGCTTGAGTTGGACACTTCAGTCAATGGAAGAGCCCATGGTGCTTTGGGATGTGCTGACCACAATTACCCCAACCCCAATTAATTAACTCCTATTGACCAGAAACTGTTGGCTAAGATGAGTGTAGACTTTGTTTATTGACTGATGAAAGAATTTTCTGTTACTGGCTGGCATAAAGGTGGGGTTTTCTCCCACGTCCAATGAGACTACTTTACCTCCCAACCTTAAATAAGTTTTCCTGGGATGTTTATAATTTTCCTTACCTTTTATATTTGTACAACCAGTTTTAGTCAGTTTAAGATCAGTTTTGTTCTACTTGGTTTTAGTATTTTATTTTGTTTTGGTTCAATTATATTTAGATGTCCAAATTATATCTTTAGTTTATATTTCAAGTTATGTTCACTTTCTGTAAAAATGGGCTCCATGTAATCTTGTTAACCATGTTCCTGTTACATTTTGTCACTTATTTTTATTTTGACAGTGTTGTAATTTTTTTTATTTAACTGTGTTGTGAAATTTTCTTATGTTCATAATTTTTTGTTTTTTATGGTTAGGTAATTTTAGGTTTTGCCCCCCAGTGGCACAGCGGTATGTCTGCGGACTTACAACGCTAGAAACCGGGTTACACATTACACGAGGAAGCGTGATACACTAAAATGGAGTACATTATTGAAATAAACACAATCTACTGCAAAGCCAAAATTAAAATAAGCATCATTATAAAAACAAACAGTAAACTAATAAACTATAACTCAAAATAAAGGATAAAGTGAATTAACTGCAAA